TTTATCCAGATATTGATAAGGAAGAGATGTTGCGGCATTTTGATACTGAGGAACGGCAGAGGTCAAGTTCCCCAACAGGCTATATTCAGTCTGAAATTGTGATGGTAGCAAAGACGGGGTGTGATGTTTCTCTTTTTACATAGGGTGGTCTTTTTTAGATGCATTTAGTATTAATGCATTATAATCTAGCTTTGCAGAAAGGCTCCAGTTTCATGTCCCATTGGAGGAAGCCCATCTTCTGCGTCTACGCAAAGCAAATTAGATTGGTCTCCAGGAGAGGTTATGCATAGATCGAACTCTATGGAAATGTAAGGGCATATTTATCATTGCTTTACTTATTCTTTATGAAGTTTTGTTGGTATATTTAAATTTTTTTGTAACGCGTTTATGCATAAATTGTTCAAGTGCAGGCATGTAGGTACACATAATTAATCACTAATGTAACTCGTTTCATCCAAAATCCAGCTTCAATAATGAGGAATTAATGTCAACATTGTCAAGCAACGGTTTGGATAACAGTGTGGAGGCCTTGCTAGGGCCTGGTTTTCGCCCACAGTTACCGAGTCAGCCTTTGCAAACTTATGACCTCTCGTTTATTGACAGTAGCACAACGAATCAGTTCCACGTCAGCGCTAATAACATGGAAGAGTAATTCCGTGTAAAACTCAGCTAAATAAATGAGGTAATTATATAGTTGCTTTGTTTGGCAGCGAACACCTTGCTATGTGCAATTTGTTTATTATTTTGTAAATAATGAAGGAGGGTAAGAATCCGATGTTCCCAAGCAAAATTTTTAACTAAGTCGTTCTAGTTGAGTGTATTGGAAAGAACTCCTAGTTTCATTTTACTGAAACTGTTTGTTAAAGTTGCTATAAACCGGTTTAACAAATTCTTTTCGCTCTTTTTTTTTGATGTTTTCGAAGAAGGGCTTCTGACCCAGCACCAAAGTAACTTTCATAATCAAAAAGGAAAGACGGATTCTTACCGAAGTTTACCTGCAAAATCTTTCGACTAACTTTCATTGGGTTCTTGTTAGGTTGAATCTGTAATTATGGGAGAACTAGAGCAAGAAATTGAGTTGTCGAGTGGAGAGCCAAATGTTTTTCCTTATGATTTTTAAAGTTTTTATGCATTTACGAAGTTGAACAGTATGCAGGAAACGAATTTTTTGACAAAAATTTATTTTTTAAATTGGTTTTACTAAGTTTCTGGTGGAACTCTAATCAAAAAAAATTTGTTTTTGAAAGATTTTGTTGGATTTTTTGGAATATCATTGAAAATTTTTGCATTGTTAGGTTTCTGTTGGCCTAAAAGTTTTAACGACTCAGATGATTTTCTGCTGCAGGTTTTTTTTTTGTCCCTGCAGTTCATTGGTTACTATTTCTTATTTTCTTTGTTCTAATTGTCTGTTTAAGCTTATTAATTTGTGTATTGAGTGGTCTCTAACTTTATCCATACTAAATCTGCTGTACAGTTTGGGCTGCAATATGTACTGTTCTTAATATTAATGTCTACAACTCGCTAAGCACCTAATGTGAGTAGAATTTCTAGTATCTTACACATTACATTGCATTGTTTTTGCAGTAGTGCTTCATTTTTATCGGTTTTTTATACCCACAGTAGTCTTTCTCTGGTTTAAGTGCCTATAAATACCATTACCAGTCCCGGAAGTGCCATATATTTGTCTATGCTTATTACCAAACAAAATGATCTCTACTTTCTACATCGTTTTATTTGCATGAGATGCAAATGAAGTTCCTATTTTTTGTTTTCCTTTTCCAACAGTTCAATAATTGTTCATTTTGCCATTTCTATGGTTTTTTTATCGCTTATAAAATTATTTTATCCATATTTAGTCGCAACAGTTCGTAATAGAGTAATTGTGACTGCTATTCTTAAGAAAGCGAGTCTCGTGCTTCAAGACTGGTTTTTTTTTTCATTTTAACATGTAATATACGTATAAAATGAGCAGAATCAGAAAACGAGACCAGATTTATACGAAAAAAAGACTAAGTTTACGGAAGAAGTGCGACATCCAGTATTTTCATCCTGTCGTAGACTGCTGCACTTCCCACCCGTTTCATATAAGAGGAGTCAAGACGTCCAGAAAGAAAAAAAAACAACAGAATGTCTTATAATAAATGATCAAGAAAGTTAGATTTAATTGATGTGACCAGTGACTGGTTAATTGCGCAGTTTGTATAACAGATATCCTTAATCACATCTAAAAGAAAAAGAGTGGAGATGCAAACGGTTCAGAATTTGCAGGCGCGGAAGATGAAGGTGACAGATATTTCAGATACACGTATAAATTCTAAAAAATGCAAGGAAGAGCATTTGTCGCTGAGAACTCGATCTCAGATGTCGGTCCCTGTCGTGATTTCTAGTTTGTCTTTACATGTTTGTCTGTTGACCAGGTAAATTTAGCAAAAATTGTTGAGACTTAAAGAGAAAAAGCAGAACAAAGTTATGAACGTATAGAGATTTCTGCTGTTTTTACTCTTTTTTTAATTTTTTCTCCTGCCCTTCGCTTACCCACAGTGTTTCGGTACTAAGACAGTGGTATTCTTCTCGACACTAATAGTACAAAGTTGTCCTTATCGGTCTTCTACCTCCTTGGTTATCTGGTGACTGCTGCCAACTGGTGTCTACCCGTCCAACCTTTTTCACCTGATCCATGTCGTCAGTGGTAAATACCTATAAGAATAAAATATAACTGTACAAGATTGACTGAAAAACCTTTTAGTATCAGTTCGTCTTTTACAACTTTACTTTTCCACTGCCAATCTGTAGTAAATAGCACTATTCATGATTAGCACATCCGGAAATACAGTTTTGCTTTTGACTAATATTGACATACCCTTTGAGATATTCGTCGCTGATCATTTGAATTTTCGCTAATTGGGCTTTCTATCGGCGACGAACCATATCCAGTGTTAGATACAAAATTTGAAGGCGATATTCCTCGGAAAGTAGAGCTTCCGCTGCTTTGCTTTCCTCGGCGATACAGGAAAAACTGCAGAATGCGCTTAGAATTCAGGGTTTCACTCTTTCTTTAATCTCTCAATACAGTAATCAGTCCTAACGATAACTACAGTAATCAAACGTCCATGAAATTGTTACACATCAGTGGTTGACTTCTCAGCCAATCACCATTCAGGACGTATCTGTCATATCTGTACTCATAATTTTCTAAAATTTAAATAGAACATAGTAAAATGACTTACGCAAGCGAAGAATAAAGCAATTAAGATTATTCCACCGAATACAACTGAGGCCGTTATCAGAGCTAAAAATTACCAAATTATGTAAAAACAGCTTTATAAATATCAGCTATTAACTCAAAAAATTGAACAACTAACTCCAGAATATACCGGGCGGAGCACTGCTAATTTCTTCGGCAACCTGGTGACTAAACCATGAATGTGGCTCAGCTCGGTATGTTTCACCTTTGTACTTGAATTTAAGTTGTCCTTCTGAAACCTGAAATTGAAAATAAGTTCAAAAATAAAAAGCAAAAGAAAAAAAACAAAAGTAATTTTGAAAGCCTCCACATAAACTTGAAAATCAAATATTTTAGAATTATACAGTTTATGGCTAAATGAGATCAAAAAAATCAATAACGTAACGTCTGTTACTGAACAGGTCAAATTCTTACTAATGTGAACTTCAACTTTGTCATTTTTAAAAAATATAAGGTTACATTTAAAAAAATATTAAGATAGCTAGAATACCTGTTACAATTTTTGCAGGTAACAGGAAAAAAACAGTAAGAAAAAATTTTGGTAAAAGACAACTGATTTGTGGTTGCTGTATCTATAGGATGGGGGAAGCAACACATTTAAAGGAAGGGGTTTGAATCGTTACTCGTATAACAATTCGTTATGGTCGTAGTTGCAGAAGAAGAAGATTACGCTTCCATTCAGTTATATTACCAATTCTTAGCACCTCCGTTTCAAGCCATTCTGAACACACTAAAACAATCACCCACGTTCGGTGTGAGATAATTGCCAATTACCATGTGAACTAACAGGTAATTTAATTGGTGGTTGCACCACAGCTAGGAAGTATCATTACTTCTTGAAGCACTTTTAGGATAACTTCTTGAAAACAGAAGCAAAAAAATCCACGGCGTTCCAGGAGGGAGATTAAGAACACAACATCTGCTACAACAATAAGAATCAAAATAATACATATATGAAGAAATCCCTCAATTAAGCATCGAATTGTAAAAAATAGTCTCCTTTTTTCACTGGTAATATTAGAGTCTAGTTATCTTTTTAAATCTCCTTCTATTCTTCCTGGCCTATAGGATCTGGAAGAAAAGCAGTCTAAACAATCCCTAGCTAATCAGAATGGCAGACTTCAAACAAACGTACGGCTTAGCAGGTAAAGAAGAAACGCTGAAAGTGTCTCTTGCATTTGGAGGTGCATTTAGGATAATTTTGCATATCGCCTCCGTATGGTTTGAGAAGCCCAGAAATATAACATATGTTGTAAATACTAACAATTCTTGTTCTAAGGCTACTTATGTTACGAATACTACCATTACTACAAAATTTTTCTTGTTCTGTTTACATTTTTGTCAGTTTCAATCGACCAACTGCGTGTGCAATCTTTCGCTTGAGTCTCATTGCAGATATTGAATTCTCAAGGAGCACTGTTTACTTGTTATACCCTGAACTTTCCTTTCAAAAAAATCAATGTTGGGCTCATAGTAAAAATGAATTTTGAAACTCCTTAAAATATTACTACTAGTTTCGCTTTGACTTTCTTAGAAAATTGACCCGTTGGGGTAATTCCTGTGAAAGCCAAATGATAATTCCAAAGAAGTGATACCAATTTCATACAAACAAGGCTCTAAATGGTTTAACAAACTTTTCTTTTTATTTACAAGACACCACCGACCAAGCAGAAACAGATAAAGGTTTTCACTATTTAAAAATTATTTCGCTACTTACCGCGTTAGAAACCTCCAGTGCTTTTGAATGAGCATTTGCACTGTAAATTGAAAATCGTACAGTGTCATCGCCACGAATAGCGAAATTTTTAATTTCCGAGTCATCCAAGCCGAATTTCTTCTTCAGATATTCAAAAACAGTCCTAAACATTTATTTAATTCACATCAAGCGCTTCACAAATGGTTATTTTTGAGAAACAGTGAAAAGCAGTGAAAAGTAAAACTATAGCTCATAAAATTTAGGCAAAAGACAATTGGTTCCATAAAATATAGAAAAATTTACTAAAATTAAAAGCTACTTTTCAAAATCTTCCCGGTTTTTTTTGAAATTAGAAGGGCCGTTCAGCAAGAAACCCAATTCAATAATTTCAAACACGGCACCACCATCGTCATTTACAAAATCGAGCAGCGGGTCTACGCCTGTCCCAACACAAAACCGTTCACACTCTAGCTTGCTACCAAAATTATTTAGGTTTCCAGAACATCCTCCGTAGTTGAATGGTAAACAGGTTTGATTTTCAGAGCTATAGTAAAAGCGTGGCACAGAAACCGTGCAAGGCCCTTGATCTAGTTTTAGATTGCAAACGTAACCTGAAAAGTAACAAGTTTCTACACAGTAAATTCTAAAAGAGTGCAGGTGAAAAGTGTGAGTATTCGAATAGAGTGAATGTTTTACGTTTAGTGACGCAACATATTCCTGTCGATTCTGTAGGCTTTGACAAGCAGTAGTGAGTAGATGGACACCCGTTTGTATTGACAGAACACTGAAGTGGAGAGCCGTCGGGAGAATTGGAAAAGGCGTCACCATGTGGACAGGCTCCTGGTGAACCAGGAAATCCACTTGGTTCTACAAAAGAAATGCCAACTGCTCAGAATACGAAATTCGCTATTGCTATGTTTTGAATATAAAACAAACTGGAAAGTACCTTGACCAGGACAACAGATTCCCCGCCTGTTATAATCATAACCAGTGCAGTAGAAGCCACTTGGGCAAATTTGAGTACGATTTTCCAAACAAGTAAACTGAGTGTAAGTTCGCGGTTCTACCGCAGGTCTCTTGTCGTTGATACACCAATTTTTTTCACCTAAATTTCAATCTTCGCGTCACTATGCCTAATATAAAAAAAGAAAATGATAAAAGAAATTGACTGACATGTTGGTACCGGTACACACGTTTGATCACTGCATTCCTTTGGCCGTAACAGGCAGACATATCCGACCGGACAATGTACCGAATTGCAAGGGTTCCGACACCTGCAGTCTGGAGTTGTGGCACAACCTGTCGCGTCAGTTTCTAGTCCAAATGGGCACACCATCGCTCGTTCATCGCAAGTTACTGAGCACACCTTCTTATCTAAAAAACCAATTTTCCTTTCAAAATTTTCAATGCTATTTTGGACAGACCTGCTTATTAAAGAATAACTCTTTTTTTGTAATCTAATAGTTTATATTCTTTTATATCAACTGTAAAAGTATCTTTATTCCTCAGTTTTCACAGAACTCATTTAAAAATTGTTTCTAGCGGCTTCAGAATAATTAAAAATACTGTTTAAGCAAGTTGTTAAATCATTCAACCGTCTGAAAAAGTCTAAAGAAATAAAGATAAACGTCTTTTTTTGAATCAAAATCTGCTTAAAAATTTATTTTTTCATCTCCAAAAGTGAAACTATTTCACGGCTATAAAGGCCACCGACACCCATAAAATCTTTCAAAAACTAATTTTCAAAAAGCAGTCATCTTTTGAGCAAAGCGGTTAACACTCTTTAGTTTCACACTTCTTCCCTTCACCTTCACTTTTAAATCTCCCAGCTTATTGTGCATACTTTGTTTTTGTTGCCTGTGGCGATTGTTTCATTGCAAATTGCAAAAAAAACAAAAACTAATAATTTCAGGTAAAGGCTGAGAAGGTAAACAATGAAAACGTTATAAATCAAATGTTGTTCAAATATATATAAGTACTCAAAAAATAATCTTTACATTTTACTTACTTGCACATATATTAAAGGCTGAATTGAAAAGTTTTGTCTTTGTGCCATAAAATTCATTTCCTGTTACTGTATCGACACACCAACAGTTGTCTGATTCATCGCACTGTACAGTATTGAACATTCCTAACAAACAAATGATTTCTGACCTGATTACAGTAAACAAATTTATATTGACTTTAACTTTGCCGATAATGCCTGTAAAACCACCTAAGTACAAAAAATTCACTAGACAAGTATGTTAAATTAAACTGAATAACAATTATACCAGAAACAGCATCGCAATTTGGCGTATATAAACTCACTGCAGCATTCGCTTTGCGTAAGTTTGCAACAGCGGCTCTAAGATGGATGCAGTCTAAAGTCAAAGATTTATTTGTTAACAAGAATACGGCAGACAAAGAGAATACAGACGTTATGCTTGGTAACTCTACATTCAACTTCATTTCAAAAAAAGTACAAACTGCTGTGCTTTTATCAGGGAGATTTGAATAAAAAGTTCCAGAAAATTCTTATGTACAACTTATCAAAATTACTTGTTGTACGTTCTGGAGCCGTGCAGACTCGACTGCATCCGTACTCGCAACATTTCTCAACATCCGTACAATCTGTATCAACACTGCACTGCTGCGTACAATCTGTAAATGACAAACTATAATATTGAAAAATATCTGTAGACTTTACAGCTAAGTTTTTTTACAATAGCAGGTAATCTTCGTATTCAAAAAACGTCACTTCTGGCAGATTTGGTGACTTCTGATTATAAGTGAACAGTCAAAATATAATTTTTTCTATCAACTTTACATAAAGAAATGATTTTTTGATTGAAGATACATTTGCTAATCAAAAAAAATTTTTTCAAACTTCGTATGTTGTGCCATTTTCAATCTGACAAACGACATAGTGTTAAGTCAAAATAATAAAGAGCAAAACAGACTTTGAGAAGCAAATACACCGTCCGGAGTGTGTACTGGACATTCGCCACGCTTGTTTGCTGATATCACGTGAGATTTGCCACTTTCTAAAGCAGTGGAATAGCTTGGCAGAAGTTCTGTTTCTGGTGTTGCTCACTCCGTGTTTTCCGAAGTCTTTTTTCTATCGTTTCAACAATAAAGGAAACAGAAAAAACGCATTAGCTTACTAAACGGGCAACAAACTCCTAAACGCTGCTCTCCAAGAACATATCGACATTGCTCTTTACCGCATTCTTCGTCCCGAAGACATGGAATTGAGTTACCATAACGATCTTTCAATGCTAATTCGCCACCAGCACATGGATTTGTTTTGCCTACACAAAACAGACAATGTTTGTTAGTCGAAGGTAGTGCTATAAATGACTCTCTACTCAAACTACCGAAGAAGAACCACTCACAGACTGGAACCGGCGGACAAGGTGGTGACAAACAGGATACTGGCTTCAGTACGCAAACGTCGTCAAAACGCGAACACTTAAGATCCTTAAAAACTTTTCATTCTTATCGTTGACGTTTGAAGATTTTAATTTAATAGTTTAGTTTGCCATCTCCAAACCTTGATTTTCAAAACAAGTATGATACAAACGAACTTCACATGGATTTCTGCACTCACAAACGCCATTTGTTGGACATCCTTTCTCGTCTAGTCTTACACCGTAAACACACTTGTTGCCGCATGTCACAGGACAGTTTCGCGGAGCTGAATATGTTGACATTTAATAGTACTATATATTTACTAAAGGACGATTATAGCAAAACAATCGCAGTTTTTCGTTGAGAAATACTTGATTTAATTATACCAAAACAATCAGGTTCAGCTGCGAAATCTGCTACACGAGTTCCAGCAATTTCTACTCCTGTCACTGTATTTACGCACCAACAAAACCTAAAAGCGGTAACGACGACAGTTCAAAATTTCCGTAATAACTTCCATTGAAAGGCTTTTTGAATATACTTTGGCAACAGTTTCAGACAGAATAACTATTAAAACAGTAAGATTTTACTTAGATTCACGGTTACACTGAACCAGCTTGAAAGAACCGTCTGTGTTACATTGCGGATAGGTTTCATTAGAAAGTTGAAGATTCTCGTTCCTCAAGAAAGCCACTCGATGTATGCAAGCTAAAATAAAAAAAAATCATTTGAAAAGTGAAATTATTGCTGGTTCAAAAGCGTCGAACCGTTCACAGAAACAGTCACCTGTCGCTACGTGTGGAAACTGACACAACCGACCACATCCGTACGGACAACATTTTTGAAACTCTGGGCATTCACTGTCCTTTGTACAATCACTACGACAACCAGGATTCGACATTGGGTTTGCAGGACAAACTCCTAGTTTTTCCTTCGGCTCCTCAATAACTAAATAATACCTTATTGTTGCAGTTCAACAGTCAACTTCAGCCAAAATAATAAAATTTCAAACATTAAAATTTAAAATAAATTTGAAAAATTGCCTTTGTTGGTCAGCATAGAAGAAACCCGATCTTCAATTTTATTAATGTTCTTTAAGGTTATGTTTTTGCAAGCAGTTCCACAACCATTAAAACAACAGATTCCTAATTCGCAATCTAAGTGGGAGCGGCAAAGTACTGAACATCTTTTAGGGTTGTCTGTGACGGTCTCTGGAACTGCAGGGCATTCTTCAAGTGGCTCTGGTTCTAAAATGTATAACACTGAGTAGTTGCCACCTCTTCATCAATACTCAAGTAGGCTAATAATTTATCCTTGAGCTTAAAGCAGTAAAATCAAACTACCGTTCCCGGCACAACAGTAACCAGTATTTTTTGAGCCTAGTCCGAACCGGTGACAGAAATAGTTAGTTGGGCATTGTCGAAAACTGTCTACTGTACATGTTGCCAACTGCTCGGTGTCCAAAGTAATAAGTGGCTCACCAGTAGGACAAACATTAAGAACACCTAGAAATATAAGATAACCATGATGTTTATGCATTTAATAGAACTGTTTGCGAATTATTGATTATGAGTTACATTTCGGATAAGGCGGGCAAGTTTTCGTGTAACACTCTCCTTCGACGAGTCTGCACACGTAAAATCTTGGACATGTAACATCTTCACATGGATTAAAGCAAGCACACTGATTGCATCCGCTACTATCTTTACGGTAACTAGAAAAATTTTTATGTGAAAAGGTGTGTAAAACATTTTCCGCTATCCTAAGTCAATTTGCATTCACGAAAAACTAATTTCTACACAACTTTAGCTTACAATCAACAAAAAATTATTAGTAGTAGTAAAAACTTATTTCTATCAACCTCAATCAAATTAAAAATTACCCAAGATGACAATGCAGATTACAAGAGAATACTGGACATGTTCGTGGTAAATTACAACTTGGAACCCTATGCGCCGATCGAGTACCTGTAACAGCAATCATTTTATAGCTTCGAAAAGTCGAATTAAAAGCTGTCTCAGTATTTTCTAAGCTATCTGTTTCATGCGCCACAAAACCTTGGATTTCACGTCCAGAACTATCGACACAAAACCGAGAACTTCCATAGGCTTGAACAGACACAAACTCGCCGTCAGCATCGCACTGAGGAATGTACGACGATTCTTTAAACAGCTCTGCAGCTCCATGTGCATGTAAGCAAGCTAAAAAACACCATCTACCCTACATCGACTATAAAACAAACAAACAATTAAAGAAAATCTTTTGTACCTAGAAAATGTCGGAAAATACACCAATCCCAAGTCCACTATACATAATCATTTGTCTTATACGACATAATTTAAGAAAAAGTAACGAGGTTATTATACTTCAAAAAAATTCTCTACACAGATTACCTGTAGTAATCTCAGCATACATACATCCTTTGTAACATCCATTTGAGCAACATTTCTGAATTCCAGGACATTCGTCGTCGGTAGTACAAACATCTTCATCATTACCTTCGCAGTTTGCCGGCTCTGTTTCAGGTATGACCAAACATTCGCCAATCTTCTTTTTTTTGCTCCTTATAGGAGCATGATGCTCTAAAGACACTAGTGAAAAACCAACAACTATTGTCACAGTTTTACTAATTCTAACATTATTCCGTCGCACATAACTTATGTATTAGCCGTTAGATACCTGCAGGTAAACATGAAAGACCACATCCATTATGACAACATTTTTCTGTAGATAAACAGTCATCGTCCGATTTACAATTTACAGTACATTCATCAGTGACTGCTTCCAGCACACGTGGACAGCTCCCCAAGTGGAGGTTATCTTCTAAAAAACAGCATAATTCAAGTGAATACACGATGTTATTGATTTCATTTTTTTAATAAATAGATCGACTGCCCAAAAATGACAAAAATTCTCGCTTTTTTCTAATAATTACAGATAAATGAATTTTTCAAAGACTATTACATTAAAAAGAATTTTGATATATAGAAATTACCATTTCCCCAACAGCAGTAACCTCCGTTTCGTTTAAATATTCTACAATATGCCGGACGTCCAAGGTACTTGCACTGATTACTTTCTCTGCAAAACAGAGGCTCGAAAGTAACTTCATCAATAGCAGGAATTCCCTCTGGACAGGCATTCACAACGCATCGAGGAACTGGTAAACACGGTGTAGTGGTACATTCTACTGGATGTGGAACACAAAATTCGTTTCTACCCGGACAAATAATATTCTACAATTACCTTATAACATTTAGCTACACTGCAATTATATATAAAAAACGCTATTTGAAGCTAGAATTTTTCTGCAATACTCTAGTACTCTTCAAAAAGCTGCGTTACTTAAAACATATTTCAATCAGTGAAAGACCAGTAATACCCTCACTAACTGCACTTCATTTGTACACAGAAAGCGTTTCCGTAATAGAACACTCAATTTAAAAAAATAGTTGATCATTTTAACCTTAAAGAACTGCGCCAGTTCTGTTACCAACGAGTCTATTTTAAGCAGTTAATAAGAATCTGATTAGAACAGCTAACCTTGCATGGGTTGAAGCATTTGCAGGTATTGCAGCCGTTCATGTCTCGTTCCCTACCGTGTGGGCAATGAATATTGATAGAGCATTTTGGTTGCGGACAAACACGACGAGCTATAACGATTAGTTATTTGATACTTTACGCAACTAATAAACCATAAAAATTTTTTAATCTGAATGAAGTTTACGAGGTAACAAAGAATAAAACATCAAACGTCTCTTTTTTCAAACAAAATTTAGCTCTTATAGCATATCATTAAGCAACAACCTTCTTGTTCTGGTCTTGAATCTTTTTACTTTCATATCTGTAAAAAGTTAACAAGCAAATGACTTACTGTGACAGTTAGGCGTCAATTTATTGTTTACACGAGTACCCTCAATTTCTTTGCCGCTTGATGTCGAGCACCAACAAAAGTCTTGGTCGCACTGTATCGAATTAAATGTGCCATCTGTATACAATTATACAATATAAAGTATTTCTTTTTCAATTCTACTCTATTTAGGAATGAAGTCAATCAAATTTTAGAAAAAATATAATTTAAATGATATAAAGTATTTAACATCAAAACTTGTGTAAAGTTTTGGATATTTGAAAAAATCAACACGGGGCATAAACCATCTACCTTCTTTGCAATCAACAGTAAAAGGAGACGCAAGTTTCTCCAATGCAGCCTTCAGATGGATGCAACCTGAAATTGAAATAAACTTTTGCTTACTCGAGACCAAAAAATGTAGGCAAAAGCTATTTCTTCTTAGATCTTAGCTAAAAACAGTGAAGTTAACCTGTTGTCCTTCTCGGGTACATACAGATTCTTCCGCAGCCGCTGCTACAGCACTTTTGCATACCAGGGCACTCCTCATCAGACGTACAAGACTCTTGCTGATTTCCAGTACAATTGTCGTGTAGATCGATTTTTGCACACTGCCAGCTTTTAACAAATGCCGTAACTTTTTTACCACTGTATTGGGGTTCCACCGCCTGGCTAGATGCTACTGCAAATTGCAAAAACAGTGATTTTGTAATTATTAAACAGGGAAAAAAGAAAGCTGCTAACAAGCTGTCGGCAATTTCTATTGTCCCTTTCCTCAAAAGTTAGACTTATGCAAAAAAAAGGTCACTTTTTGATTTAAAAATTGAGAAACAAAGAAATTTTAAATTTAAAAAAACTATAATACAGTTTAAACTAGACCGTTAATAGCAACGCAGTTTGTTCCACAGCCATTAAAGCAACATTTTGAATTGGCTTTGCAGTCAGTATCTAGAAAGTTGAGAAATATTTTCCTTTTTTTTCAAATTTTTTGTTTTCAAAATGATTTTCTATTCTACTAGACAGATCAGAAAAGATTCGGCAGAATGCCTGCTTATTATGTATATGAAACTCTTTTTGTAAAAGCAAAAATGGTTAAAGTACCCGATCTGCAGCGAATTTGACATACAGTTAGCGATGTATTACTGTAAATGGCTACAGAGGTCACCGGACAGACGCCTGGCGACACCTCCTGTCTCGGATTTGGACAACACAGCCCTCTCTTGTTTAAGCCAAGTAAGTTGCACCAGTAAGAATCAGGACAGTCACTATCAGAGCTACACAATTCTGATACATCTTTGACAGATGAAAAAGGTGTTCCAGTGGGACAAATGTTTGCAACGCCTTAAGTAGATAGACATAAAAAAAATTAAATTAAGCGGAAACTTTAAATCAAATATTGCACTCTTCAAATTGCCTCTCGACGTAATAAAGAGAAAAAAAGAAAACTTACATCTTGGTTGCGGAAAACAGTAATTTTTTTGGAAGCATTCAACCGATACCATAATACATACTTCTTCTGCAGAACATTCTATATTGGCACATGGATTTTTGCACTCACACTTTTCGCAACCATTATCATCAGTTTCGTGACCGAATATGCAGTCTTTTGTACATTTCACATCTCCACACGTTTCTTTAGGTTCTGAAATTGTTCTTACTTGATTTGATAGTTAGAATAAATTATCTTTTAATCGCTAACAAAGTTTGTTTTTTGCATGAGATGTAAATAAGCCAAGGTGATAATTGCTATTTGTATAGAACAGCTTTTAATCTTTTTTCTGCACTATATCATAAACACAGTTTTATAGAAGTACGCGTAAGTAAGCAACCATTGCAGTTAGGAGCGATGTCCGACGGTAATCGTGTGAACGGTATCATCTTCCCCGTATTCACATCAACACAGTAGCATCCGGCCTCATCACACTGAATATTTTCGTAGTTACCTGCAGGATCACATTTTGGCATATTCGCAAACTTGTAAACTTCTGCTGTCATTGCTTCATGAATGCAGGCTGCAAAAGAAAGTTGTACATTTCTGCAAATAGGAGAAGATATAACGTTAAACTTCAGCTTACAAAGCTGCAGAGTAAGATAAAAGCATTAAGACACTATTGAAAAGAATATTAAATAAGTTTTTTTCATAGTAATTATTGTACTTATTAGATAAAAAACAGTAAATCTTCTTTTTTCTCGCGATTGATAAAACAGAATAAAAACGGAAGTGTGCGGAAGTACAATTATTAAATATTTAATCAACAATGTAGAAGTATTTTTCATTGCTGATTTACCTGTGGTTTTCGTTGGATAAGTGCAAAATGATGAACATCCAGCAGAACAACATCGTTTCATACCATCGCAGTCATTATCCTTTTGGCACTGAATATCACATTTTGAGTTGTCAACTTGAGGGTGGTTTTCAGGGCATTCGGCTAACAATGACGATAGTATTTCTGTAAATTCAAATAAGTTTTGAAAAAAAATTTGAACGACAATTGCTTTTTTATGACAGCAAATTAAAAGTCCGACTAACCTTTATTATGATCTTTAACTTCATTATTTTTTGCAGGTTTCATTTGGAATGGATTTGGTGGAAAACCATTAGGAATACATTTAAGGCCACAACCATCAAAGCAACATTTTGATCCAATTTGGCACTCAGGATCGCTTCTGCATTCTGACTCACAGCTTTCATCAGAATGTTTTGGTATACGAGCTGCACAATGACCTTCGCGTATTGCAGATTCTGGAGCAAGACAGCAAAAGCCGAGACCGTTATAACCAACCTTAGGTAGTAAGAAAACTGTTGAAATTAAATTTTGTAAAAATTTCGCAAAAAAAAAAACAATGAGTGTTTCTTTATTAATGCGACGGTTGTAATAAATCATAACAAACTGTTAATAATCAGTTTAATTGTTTGACTTGAACAATTCTCTTACTATTTATAAAGTATCATTCAAAACATATCCCGTGTCATTCATTTGAAGCGGTTTTTCTTCGTCATTTTCATGTTTACGTTATACATCAATATGGTAAAAAGACTTCAAAAATTTTCTCTATAAGTTTTTTTCTAAAGAGTGCGAAATTTTATTTTTGACAAATGACTGAAATTTCATCAGTTAGTACGAGTAAATGTGGCATATCGACATTAGCAATTTTACTAGTATCTCTTAAAATGACCTGAAGAAAAAACAGCCTTTTTTGACCAAAAACGGCACAGTATCACATATTTTAAAAAATATATACAACAAAGCCAATCTTTTAATCATAATGCGACTTTCATCTTTATCATTTTTATTTTGTTTCGTTCTTTTTGCTTTCTTATCTTTTTCTGTCTTTTTTTTTTTTTTAGAATTCTTTCTATAGTATGAAAACACTGTAGCAGCTGAGTAATTTCAAAATAAGTCAACAACAGGTGTCATTTAATGGTTAATTAAAGACTAAATTGTGAAAATCTGTTTGAACAGTAATGTATCCCACTAACTATTGCCAGTAAGTCAAAAAATAAAATGAAATAAAATAAAAGACCACTCATTAAACAACTTTCTTTAATAAATAAATCTGGTATAAGGCAGTGACGAAAATACTTTAAACAAACAACTTAGATAAAATCTAAATTAACGTTCAAATATATACAAGACTAAAATAGTTGCCAAGTTTTTTGAACAATTTAATAAGATTTAAAATTCATTAAGAATTTTGTTAACTTACACTAGTTTATCAGACATTTTTTTCTAACTTATAGTGTCTTTTTTTGGCAATTTTTTCTTGGTTGCGGTTAAAAAATATCAAACTAGAAAAAAACTCATTGTATTAATTCGCTCAAAAGCTTTTTTACGCTGAGTTTCTTAACTTACACTACGTCACACAAATCTGGCAATGCTAGAACAAACACCCCTTTGTTGTCCGGATCAAAATCAGAAGAAGAAAGAGGACTTTTTTTGATAATTAGTAATAATATTGATCATTTTGGCAGTAATAATCATGATTTTTTTAACGAGGATGAAAAAACTGATGCATAAAACCAAATAACCCCACGAAAGCAACAAAGAATGTTTGACTTCAGACCAATTAAAGAAGTATTTGCTTACAACACCTTAAACAACTTGATGAGGCTTACTTGATGACACCAATAATTTCTTGAACATTGAGTGGAACGTGTACATAAAGCAGTGACCCCATCAGGTAGGGTCATTGGAAGACCTCTTGGACATGGGTTTAACAAACCTGAACAACAAATCACATTAGTACTTATACTGTATTTAAGTCTTCGCTAACAGTTTATTGTGTATATTGATGGAAGAAAAATCTGTTGCTTTCTACTACGCTTAGAATTTGGCACTAGTTTGAAAAATCGACAAACTATTACGTACCACAAATCTTCTGGTTGAATTTTACGTTTTTTTTTTTTTTCTAGCTGATAACAATATAAGCGTAGTGTTAATAAACATACATCTTGGTACTGGTAAACATGGTACTTGACCACAGTCCGGTTCGACCAGTTGACAGTCCTCCATTTCACTTGGGCATATCACATCATCACATAAATTTTTACACTCGCAGGTTGTTACTGGACAACCATCTTGCTGTGTTTTCAATCCATGTGGACAAGCATTCAAACATATTACATTTGGACATATTCTTGGAGCTGAATTAAAAAGTACGTTATCAATCGCTAAGAGATTAAACAGCGAGTGCGAACAGCGGTGTTCAGTAAAATTCTTGCCACAATATAAGTCTTTGATGCACTGCTAATAAATCGCCAAATTATTTCTGCGCGAAAAAAACTGGCTTTTTTTTACTTAAAAAAACGAAGAATTTAAATATATTTTTTGTTTTTAAAATTACCCAAAACAGTTCTTCAACAGTAGGTCAATGAATAAATTTTCATAAATGATAGAGTAAAATATTTATTGTAAAAACAACTTTCTCTCGTAATATCTTAAGCGTTACGCCACTACAGTGGAAAAGGTAAAATTTACGTTTACTTAACATATCTTCTGGCTAACCCCGTAGATTCAAAAGATTCTTATCAATGGATATATTCAAAATGTGGTTTTAATTTAGCATTTTTTACACTGTCAACATCAGCCCATGAAAGTGGCCCACTAAAAATTAAGTTTTTTCGTTTGAGTCAAATTAATTGGCCATAATTTAGAACTTTTTTCCGATATAACAGTGGAAGATTTTGAATAGCATACATCATAATAATAAAGAAATTAAGTAAAGAATTGTCTAAAAAAGACTTGGAATAAAGGAGTTTGTTTAGAGTGCAAAAAAAGGTTGTTTTTGAAATTGATGCTGATTAACGCATACATGTCATTGGACCTACAAAGAATAATAGAAAACCAGAAAACTCGAAATCAAAAATTTGAACAGTCAATAAGACATTTTGAAAGATAATTGAAATACACTGCAACATACAACTAAATACGAAAAAATGAGAGGTACAAAAAACTTAGCAGCAATCTAATAAATGCCTCTTTTTTTCACTTGTTCTTGGTTTCGAGTTTTCTGTAAAAAAAGGTAGATATGTTTATTTTTGTTTTGCCAATAATACACCTATGAAAATTTCTTAAGTATAATTTAACTAGCAAATATTTAATTTATTATTAAAATACTGGCAGCGGTATTGTGCTGTTTGTTTTCAAGTTGATTTATACTTGAATGAATAATAAGCTGTTGTTAGCCTTTTTGAAACGGTTTGCGTACCTGAGTAAGAGTAGTTTCAATAAGTTCAAGATTTATCAATGGTAAAAGAGACAATACTTTGACAATTTGGTGGTCCATTCTCCTTGAACACTTTTGTTCCTGGAATTTCCCATCCTTGTACAGAATCAGCGCACCAACAATACACCTTATCACACTGCACCTTCTCAAAATATCCTTCAACGGTACATTTTGGTATATATCCGTTAGCCAGCAGTTTTTTTGGTAGCCGACTAACAGCCGAAAGTAGATGAACACAGTCTAAACAATAAAAAAAATAACGTTTTTCTTCGTTCATCATTTGGAACGTATCTATTTCTGTTGTACAAATAATAAAGGGCAAATCACGACTAAAGTTATGACTGCAAGTAGTTCATCCATCAACGACTAAAACTGATATAACTATAAACAGCAAAAAAAAAACCAACGTGTAGCTTTATCAGGTGGACAGCAAACTTTTCCGCAACCATTGTCACAGCATTTTTCAACACCTGGACAATCGGCATCTACTTGACAGTTTATTTCACAGTTTGTATTTGGTATATTACTTTTTGGAGGGCAAAATCCAACACGACTGTTTGGCACTGAAAACCTTCCATAATAGCTTTTTAATCTTCCAGATCAATAACAGTCTAGTAGTTTCTCAACAGCCATTTGAATGTTGTTTTCGAGTTCATTATGATCACATAATCGTAATCGGCAATTTTATACTCTTTGAAAAACCGCAATAAAACTTGAAAAATTTAGTTTCGTTAAAAAACAAAGTTTTGCTATTCAACTCAACTGATTGTACAAATCAATTTTTCCTAATAATTACTATTCCTTGACCATTTTTTAAAAGAAATTTCAGTTTTTTCAGTGTAAACTAACCAATAGTAATCGGTTTAATTGGTAAAGCATTCAAAACTGGTGACAGTACACTAATTGGTGCAACACATTCCCGGCCACAACCATTGCTACAACACTTCAGTTCACCTAAGCAATCATTATCTGTTGTGCACTTGGAAATGCACACAGCTTTCATCAAACGTGGGCATTCTCCAGATTTCCAATATGGTTCACGTAAACCTTGCGACACTGTAAACTTTATTTTTTATTCTCAAAGAAACAACTGCAATTGAAAACTTTTAAAGAAAGGCAGCTTTTTTTAATAGATTTTTTTAAGTGTTGCGAAATTTTTCGGAAGAAAACTTTTCACTCCCATTATTCAAAAAATCCCCGGCAGTGTGCCACACAGCATGATATAGCCTAGAAAACTACAAAGATTGATACTTTCTAATAGATAATATTATTGAGAAAGTATTAAATAATTTATGTTGAATTAATAGACGTAATGACCAGTTTTTGACTAAGCGCAAACAGTTCATTGATGTGCAAATGACAACAATACGAGAGCCGTGTAGGATGATTACAAAAGCAAACAAAATTCGCCAGATAATTTTTTCTGATTTGACTAACGTTGTAGGATTTTGAAAAATTTTTTAGCTACAGTTACACAATAAAATCGCTATTCATTTAACTGTTTACCCAAATAAAAGCTTTTTGTAGAAGTTTAAACCACTTTTCAATTCTACGACCTTTTTTTCTCATAGTCTGTAGTTTCTTCCCTTCCTCTAAAGCATCTTTTCTTACCTATGCCTTCCAAGAGCAACCTCAAGCTACGAACAATTTTCTGCAGTTATAATTCAATGATTCTTTACAAACACTTTTTTCTTATTTTAGCATTCAAAATCGAATCATTTCTGTCGTCTGTTTTAAACTAAAGAAAAAATTATTTATAACCGATATATATATATATATATATATATATATATATATATATAATATATATATATATATATATATATATATATATATATATAAAGAAAAATGCAACTGAAATTGCCTCACTCTTCTTCTATTTCAGCCCAAAAAA